TCAACTTCTAGATGTTCATAAGACGCACGTCTCTGCAACGTCAAGTATTGGTCTGATCATGAAGACTCCTGATCCCTGGGGAGTACAGTAGTAACTTGTGGAAATATGATAATTAATTACTACACGATGGAAATCTTGATTGGACACATGGTTGTTTTCTGACCGCTTTGAGAAGCACAATCCAGGCTTTTGGATTAAGACTACATATTATCTAGAGACCCCCCCAAAGTGTTTTTCCTGTACCCTTCTAGATAAAGCTTCCAGTGAATAATACCTCCAGCCTTGGGGTCAGAATTGGTCTATTATGTGGACCGCGGCTTTTTTGATAAATGATGAATAATGATGCGGCAATAAAACTCATAAAGCAAATACATTATTCACGAAAACCTTGCAGTGCACGTAAGTGCTAGGCTATGCACGTTGAAATATGGAGATATAATCAAATTATTTGATGGGGATTCAAATTACTTAAATATTGACTTGGGACTCATTCCTTGGCTGTAGAACCATCATACAGCTCATCTTAGTACTCCTCTCTTAGCTGACGTACCAAAGCTAATAGGATCAACGCTAGTTAGGCAGTTTAGTGACATCCTTTAATATATTGGGGAACAATGGAATAGACTAAACTATAGATCTGGATAAAATGAACTTACACGTCATTTTACATGGTGTACAAGATTGTGACGGTTGATGATCAAAATCGCTGTAAAAGCCCACCCCTTTACAGCTGCAGATAAATTAGAGACCGTTATATGAAGCATATGAAACCTGTCTTCTGCGAGATCATGCAACGTGCCTTCAAACTTCACTATCGAGCTTCTGTTACCTGATAAGCTTTCACGGTCTACTTGCATTTTAATGCAACACAATTCTGACCAAAACATACGTCATACTTGATCTTCAGCCAGCACTTCATCTTCCATTGCAGAAATCAAGGAAGCAGATTGGATTTTTCCAGCATGCTCTAACCGCATCAAAATAACTCCCCTGAAAAACGAATAAGGAAACTGTCATGACTCCTGAGCAAAGACAAACTAAAAGGATGATTTGAGAAAAGAAATGCTAATAAGAAACAACCCAATCTGAAAAATCTAAATATTAAAGTTGTTTCTACCCACAATCTCCGGAGTAAATTTGATTACAACAAACTGTGAGCGGTTAAACACAGAGGGATAGCTGCATTCTTACATGTTCGGTTGACTTAGACAAGCTATTGAGGAACCAACATTAATATTTGTTATGTAAATATAATGAGTAATAGTTACTCCTAAGTAATTAAGATCAAAAAATAAACAAGTCGAACAATACTAATGAATATATCTTTATAAAAATTAAATAATTGCTTTAAGTGTGATATGAGCATATTATCCCAACAAACACTAAGATATCTTTATCTCTACAATATACACATGAGATCTGATCTTTAGCCAGTATAATTTTCTTGATTACCGGTCTATTGCATTTCTAGTAAAATCAAATATGTAGGGCTGTCGTTGCATAGATGGTTTCCGAGTTTAAGGAACAATTACAGGGATAATGAAGACAGCCACTATTTGTATTAAGCTAAGCATTTTCTGCTACATAAACTATTGCGAACATTTCAATCTCAACTAATATATAGACATCTTTGAGTACCAAAAAATTCTGTATTTAGGAATTAGGATACTTAATTTCCTTCCTTTCTAAAATATAAGGGCAAAAAAAGAAGGAATTATTGTTGAAAACATCACAATTCAAAATTCAGTACTGATTATGGACAGGCATAAAAAATATAAGTCATCTGTAGGCTTCCGTACCTTGCCACCCGAGATTGAATAGATATATCTCGAACCTTTATTCTGTTTATGGTTCCACTTTGGCTGACTAAGACTAATTGTTCATCGCTTTCACCATCATCTGCATTAACAATGAGATACGACTAACCTGTCTTAGCTACACAAAAACTGACTCATACCTTTATTCTGTTTACTCTGTTTATTGTATCAACCGAACATCATAAATTGATTAGTTAAACACAATGTACCTGCTAGTGAAAACCCAACCACAAAAACTGCAGCTAGTCGACCATCTGCTGGAATCTACGATCAACAAAGATGAACACACAAAAAGTATGCCCATTATTTTTGTATATATGAATGTGTAGCAACCCACAAAACCAGTTAACATAATAATGTTATAAGCAAAAAAAATTCACCTTGTAACCTCTCAAGCCCACTCTGTTAAAATTTGATTCACGGAAGCTACTCAGAGGCACACGCTTACCACGACCACTTTCTGACACGAATAACAGCCATGGAGGTCGAACATCCCTACTCCTGAAACAATTTTTACATAGAACTACATCATGGTTGCTATCAGGCACAACAACATTGTTGTCATCATTATCATAATAGTCATAAAAAATAATTGTTTCATGCACTCATTAAATGTAAAAAGAAAAAAATCTTCCTTTGTCGTACACACAAGCAGACACAATATCTTGATGGAAGAGATAGAGTTGTTGGGTGGGGGCTTTTTTTTTGGGGGGTCCTTTGGCGGGCGGGCGGTGGGGGGGGGGGGGGGGGGGGGGGGGGGGGGGGCTCCTTTTTGGGTGGGGTTGTAACTAATGAAATAAGTAAACAAAGTTTACTTCGCCAAAAGCTATTGGAAAAAGAAAAGGGTACAAAGCTTACTGGTTTACAGAGTCTTTGTTTAATTGTTTCCGATCTTTATGGATAGCAGCAGGTATTATGTCCATCGCTGCCATTTTGTCCCCTTCCTTCAATCTCATGGAAATAAGACCCCTTGTATTTCTCCCATATGCCCGAAGCTGGATAAATACAGGGAAAATTAAATATACCAGCATAAGAAGAAGAATACTTGATTTGTGAAGAAAGAAAAGCCTCAATGAGACATAAATTACATTATAAAATTATTCCAGCCATCCATAATCAAACAACAGAAATTTTAATACAAAAGAAAAAACACTTCATGTAGCATGAACCAATGCATAAAATATCTGCCAATATATAAGGTTCTGCAACAACAGGGACCGATATTTACAAATTTATAGCGTTCTCCAATTTTTAGAAATTTTTCCTATATATCGGGCAATATCGGCAATATCAGCTGATATTTCAGTGTGAAAGTATCTACCGGTTATGGATTTTTCCAGGTTTGTGTTTGGTTTGGGTTTGGAGTTGGGTTTGGTTTTGGGTTCCCAACCTGACCGGAATAGCAAATAAAACCCTCCCTTTCCTTCAGGAACCACAAATGGTCTCAAAGAAAAAACCAGCAAAAAACCCTAACCAGCTACGAAAATTCGGTGCCCTCCCTCCCTCAACCTTCCCTTTCCTTCGGAGATCACAAACGATCTCAAAGAACCCTAACAAGCAACGCAAATTCAGTGCCCTCCTCCCGATTTTTTTTTTACATATCCCTGATATATCCACGATTTCCGCAACCCGAAATCGATTTTTGGCCGTCCAATATTTATCTGATATCTAATATTTAAAAGAATTGCATGAACAGCATTATCAAGTTCCTTAACAAACAGTAAACCTGTAATTTTCCTTAAAACTGCCTTTTATCTATCTTTAGGCCCACATTAAACTACAGCCATTATACCCATATATTAGAGTGAGAACTCAAGAAGAGAAAAATCTCAAAGCAGAAAGAAAAGGTCAAAGAAGAAAGTTTAACGTTGATTTTACATGATGATTTTATATTATCGTAAATTAACATTTTCTTGCCTTTCAAAAAAAATGTTAATGTCTCATCTTAATCATGTAACAAGATGTTAATGAAGAAAGCATGCATAACATAGTTCACTCTAAGATCTTCCTGAATCACTTTTTAATTATGTTTTAAGAACATCGAAAGGCAAAATAAATATGAAATAAAACAGGTCTATTTCGCATGCAGCATATTCAAAGAATTACTATCAACAACACACAAAACAAGTTGTTAATGTATTTAGCATGATATGATGCAAATTTATACTCATCCAAGTCATCTTGTTCATCTTGTTCGTAAACCACTTCACTAAATTCTGGCTTCTTAGTAATATCATTTTCCATTATTATTTCTGACCAATTAAGCTCATGAAAACAAAAAAAGGGGTAGTGTGTGGAAAGCTGTGTGCATAATAGATCAACCTAGCTTGCCAGCAGATTATTGAACATTATATCATACCGTATTAAATTCCACTAGTGTTGTTTGTCAGCACTGCCTATCTCAAGCCAGGATAAAGGAGGAGGGTTGTCTTAGATAGCCGACAGCCAACGTAAAACATAGTCGGATCACATGCAAAATGAATCCTATTATATACTCGTTGGGGCGTCTCCCCACCGCGACGCGTTGCATCGATCTCACCCTGATGCAATGATAAGTAAGCAAGGGTAGTTTGCTAGGGCGTCCCCCAGAAGCGACGCATTATATCGATGTCACCCCGGTGTAATAACAAGCAATGGTGTTCTAAGAATCTATAATCCTCTAATATGGTACCTAATAGTATTAGGCATAAACTAGAATGGTCAAAGAGGGAAAATGGTAGGAGACTTTTACAAGAAAATAGATTTAGATTAGCTACCTAGAATATAGATACACTTACCAAAAAAATAATGGAATTAGTGGATGTCGTGATTATAAGAAAGATAAATATAATTTGTCTACAAGAAACTAAATGGATAGATGAAAAATCTAGAGAAATTAAAAAGACCGGATATAAACTTTGGTACACGGGAAAAGAGAAGAATAGGAATGGAGTGGGAGTTCTTGAAGATAATATAATAAAAGAAAGTGTTGTGGATGCAAGAAGAGTTGGAGATAGAACAATACTAATAAAAGTTATCTTAGGTGTAGAGGTTATTAATATTATTAGTACTTACGCGCACCACAAATAGGCTTGCCCGAGAGTACTAAAAGAGAATTTTGGGATAGATTAGATGAATTAGTACAAGGAATCTCATTTAGAGAGAAATTACTTATAAGAGGGAATCTTAATGGGCATGTTAGTAAGGATAATAACGGATATGAGAAGATATATTGAGGTTTCGGGTATGGAGATAAGAACGATATGGGTAAATCAATTCTAGAGTTTGCAATATCGTATGATTTTGCAATATCGTATGATTTGATAATAGCAAATACACTTTTTAGAAAAATGGATGAACACTTAATAACCTTTAAAAGTGGTTTTAATAATAGTCAAATAAAATTTTTTAGTCAAATAGAATTTTTTCTTACTAGAATGATGGATAGGTTAATATACAAGGATTATAAAATTATACCAGGAGAGAGTTTAAGTACACAACATAGATTGATGGTCTTAGACATATCTATTAAAAAGTGGAGTCGAAAAACTAACGTGAACAAAAGACTAACAACTAAATGGTGGAATTTTAAAGGAGATAATTTAATACATTTTAAAGATAAGATAATGAAAAAAGATATATGGAACATAAATAATGATACTAATATTATGTTGAACAGCATGTTTTCTTGTATTTAGAAAGCGGTTAAAGATATACTAGGAGAATCTAAAGGTTATAGATTAGACGGTAAGGAGAGTTAGTAGTGGAATGAGTGTGCAAAAGATTATTAGAGAGAACAAAACTTTATATAAAGAGTGGCAAAAGTGTAGAAGTAGGAAAAACTTAGAAATATATAAACTAGTAAAGAAGGAAGCAAAAAGAGCGATATATATATATATATATATATATATATATATATATATAAGCTTGCTAAGATTAGAGAAATGAAGAGTAAAGATTTGGGTAATATTAGGTGTATTAAAAGTGAGGATCAAAGAGTTCTAGTGACCAACGGGAAAACAAGTGAGCAACATAGAGATTTTGACCATATAATGAATGATAAGAACTATAGATATTGTCGTAAAATTAGGATTAGTGAGGTTAAAAATACTCTATAAAAATAAAAAGTGGACGAGATGTAGGACCGGACGATGTCCCTATTGAAGTTTGAAAATATCTTGGAGATATGGGCTTAGGATGGTTAACTATACTATTTAATTAGATTATCAAGACTAAAAGAATGTCGGATGAGTGGATGATTAGTATTTTGATACAAATATATAAGAATAAAGGAAAATACAAAGTTGTTCAAATTATCGAGGTATAAAACTCATGAGTCATACTATGAAACTTTGGGAGAAAGTAATTGAGCAAAGACTAAGAAAAGAGATGTATATCTGAAAATCAATTTGATTTTATACGTGAGAGGTCAACTATAGAACCTATACATATTTTGAGACGGGTGATAGAGAGGTATAGAGAGGAGAAAGTTATGGTTTTCATCGATCTAGAAAAAACTTATGATAGAATATCAAGAGAGTTAATGTGGTGGGTGTTAAAAAAGAAATATGTATCTAGTATATATATTGATGTGATTAAAGATATGTATGCTAGAGTAACAACTAGAGTAAGAACTAATGAAGAAGAGACTAAATCATTTCCTGTTACCATAAGTTTACATCAAATGTCAGCTTTAAGTCCTTATCTTTTTGCATTAGTTATGGACCAACTTACTAAGTACATTCAGGATAAAATTTCATGGTGTATGTTATTTGCTGATGATATAGTATTAGTTGATGAAACTAGAAGAGACATTATTGCTAAAGAAGAAAGATGGAGACAGGCTCTTGAGTCTAAAGGTTTTAGAATTAGTAGAACAAAAATAAAATATATGGAATATATTTTTAGTAAAAGTAGGAAAGAAAGAGAGCTTATGATACATATTGATCGTCAAGAAATACCTAAAACTAATCATTTTCGCTATTTAGGATCTATCATTAAGCATGATGGTGAGATAGAGGATAATATTATGCATCGAATCACATCGGAATGGTTGAAATGGAGGAGTACTTGGGGAGTCCTATGTAATCGTAGAATTTCAATGAAACTAAAGGGAAAATTTTATAGAACAGTTATAAGACTAACTATGCTTTATAGGTCAGAATGTTGGCCAATTAAAAAACATGTTCAAAAAATGAGTGTAGCAGAAATAAGAATGTTGTGATGGTCTTATGGATATACATTAAAAGATAGGATAAGAAATGAATGCATCTGTAGTAAATTAGAGGTTGCGCCTATTGAGGATAAAATAAGAGAGAATAGATTAAGATGATTTGGACATGTACAAAGGAGACCCCTTAATGCACCAATTAGGAAAAGTGATAATATTAGAGTTAATGAGGCTAGGAGATCTAAAGGTCGACCTAGAATGACTTGGTCAGAAGTAATTAAGAAGGATATGATTAAGACTAATGTAATGAAGGAAACGACCCGCAACATAATGGAATGGAAAAATAGGATTCATGTAGCCGACCCCAAACATTTGGGATAAAAGCTTGGTGGTGGTGGTGGTGGTGGTGGTGGTTGTCGTTATGTCTTACCGTATTACATGAATTTACAATAACCATCCCCTTCTGAGAAGCTATCACGACAAGATCATCATCCGCACATCGGCGCACCCATTTCAGCTCATCACCAGGAACCTGCAAATTTTGAAAAATTAGACAAGGATACATAAAGGATTTCATTTCAGTAGACGTAAAGTAAAAAGTCTGAGGAGGTAACAAGAACCAGTTGTATCGCTATAATTCCTGTTACTCTGATTGCTGAGAAGGCATTTAAAGAAACTTTCTTGATGTAACCATTGACAGTAAGCATTAGTAGGTACTGGTCTCCAGGAAATTCACTAACAGGAATGACAGAGGTTATCCTTTCTCCCTCAGATAGTGACAACAACTGTGTCCCATGCAAATTTTAAAAACAAAAAGTTATAAACCAGATAATAAATCGGCACACACAATAACATGAAACCTCGTTTGCCAAAAGACACCTGGACCAATGGAGTTCCTGCAGCATTCCGAGTACATTCAGGTATCCGATATGCACGAGCCGAATAAACTATTCCCCTATCACTGCAATAAACAAAATGGTGCTCACCTTCAAAGATTACAGTACTAAAACAAATAAGAATTCTATGAACAAACTAATAGTAAAAACCAAGTTCCATCGATAAAGTATCCCACCAATGAAGTACAAGTTAGGAAAGTTATAATACTTGCACTCTAGGGTGAATGAAGAGAACAAAGACAAAGAAAGAAAGATGAACATGTGGGATTAATACAAGCCGCAAACAAGTAGCAAAATGTTCACACGAATATTTCTGTGAGAAGCAGAGAGATGGGCTTATCTAGTGACACCAACATTTAAGAAAAGTAGAAGGCAATTCAACTCAAGACTAACTACTTCGCAGAATAATGAAGAAATTAACCAATTAAAACCACACTGTCCCTCTCCCTGATTTATAATTTGTAGTTACATTGATTGAGTGAGATCATTGTTATTCCTGTTGACAAACATGCATACTTACAGGATGAGAAGAAATAAAAACCCCTTTTTAGATGGGTTCGTATTTATTAGTTATGCTCTACCCAAGCAAACATTAGGCAAATCCAGGCATGCCTTGAAATATTAGAATTCATCAGCAATAAATTTGAAAATAAGAAAGGGTATACTCAATAATATTAGGAAACATTTGTTTTAAAATTGTTAAAAGTTGATGGTTACCTGAAATAAAGGATATGGTCATGGGCATGACAGACAAGGAAGTCTGACATTGAGTCATTTACTCGCATTTTTCCAACAGATTTTCCAATAGTTCCACGATGTTGTAGGTTAAATGTGTTAGGCTTCATCCGCTTAACATAGCCTTTTTCACTGAATGCCTATTAGAACAGTTACTAAACCTTGTTAGCGCTAAACGAACAACAAAAACAAGTACTGCAAGGATGACCTCATCCATCAGATATATAAATCATAGAGCATGAAAACGGAAACAGCTCAAACAGAATTATATCGATTTACCAGAAGCATTTCTTCATTTGGAATAACGTCTATATCCTCAAGTTGTCCTGCACTAGCATCTTCCAGCAATGAGCGCCTTGGAGTCCCAAATTTGTTCTTAATTTCAATTGCTTCTTGCTCTATGAGCTGGAGAAAGTAACTAGAGATGGTTATTGATAAATTGGATAAAACTTGTGATTTGAATAATAATATGGAGGCACATTTCATGCGATTTTTGGATAAATTTCTAAGATTTAAGCCAATAAAATATAAAATGACGAGAAAACACAAAATGAAAAAAAAGAGAAAATAGAGACCACCAAAATATGAAATGTGTCTGAGTTATGAACTTTATTTTGCTAGGGTAATTAATCACAACCCTAGAAAAAGAAAAAGAATCACAAGTGGGCAAGAAGACTTCACAAGTCATGAGAAAAAAAATACCTGGAATATGAGTTTTTTACTTAGCAAGAGCTCATTTAGCTTGGAAATTTGTTCTGTCAAAGAGTTATGTTCGTCCACAAATTTTTTTCTCTGAAAATGAGAAAAAGAAACTGTTATGCAATGAACAAATGATCCAATAAAGCAAATTACACTCACAACTCGGAAAAAATGCATATCATAAAGCCAGATCCTACCTCAAAAGAAGTCAGTTTTCTTAAGGTAATATCCAATAAAGCCTCAGCTTGTTTTTCAGATAAGTGATATTCTGCATATAGGAAGGAAACTAAATTTTACTGATATGGAAAAAGGACTGATACAAGTGATAGAAATTTCGGAATGGGGAATAACGGGCTTCATAGGCACATTCATAGACACAAATTATAGTAAATTAAGAGTTATCGTACAAATGACTCTTAACTTCTATTCTGCAAGCAGAGTAACGAAACCTGAGCAAAGGGATTGTCATTGCAATAAAATCACCTTGAAGAATTTAAAGCATACTGACGCATCCACCAATCAGAAAAATAACTCATATATAAGAGAATTTACCAAAAGATCGTGAAAATTTTCCAACGATAAAGATATGCAAGTGTGCTTGTACTAAATCAAGATGTAGAATATCACCTTTCATCAAAGCAGTTGTTGCCATCGCATTGCTTGATGTTTCTTTGATTATATGTATAACTCCATCCAAATTATCAAGACCCACGATGATGCCCTGGAACCACATAAGTATGTTAATTCTAGGCCTGTTAAGCAACAGTTTCTAACGGATAACTCAAGTACCTCTACAATATGTCTCCTTTGTTCTGCCTGTGAGAGCTTAAATTTGGCACGCCTTTCGATGATGGAGCATCTAAAATCAAGAAAGGCCTGCAAAGGAATATCGTATAACAATTGAGTGACATATAATGGAAGCAGAAAACACTAGTCCCTAGGAACTTGTCTTCTAAGTATGACACAAGAAGGATTTAAAAAACCACAAATACAGCTAAAAAGTTACTTTCTCTCATGTGCAATAACAAAAAAGCCAAGAAACGACCAGAAACTGAGTAATTTACAATAGTAAACCTAACTCTGGTTATAAGACTGTGAATAAAACTGGAATAATTACAAGGCCCAAGTGATTCCATACTTCCCACAAGAAACAAGTTGTCATAACACTAAAATAAACATATAGCAAAAAACATATATATATATATATATACACTGAACAATAGAAGGTGGCTACCAACTTCAATATTCTGTATTTAGTTGACAGAAGTATTTACAGTCAACTTCCTGAGTAACATTAGCAATCATTATACTTTTCCTACTTGGCTTTAACTAAAGTGTGATCACTACTTTCAAATGGTGAGACTTGTTTCTTCCGCAAATCTAAAATTCCATCTCAAGAAAATTGCACCACCTCATCCTCAAGTAGCTACAAGTAACCAATTACTTGCATCTGCTTCGCATGACCAAAAAAATCATCTCAAACAATTTGCGTAACCTTACACTTGACAGAAGCTTACATCTAACTGCCAAATGAAATGCATGTCCTATTGTGTCTTTGGGACATTGTCACTCATCCAAAATTATCATTTCAGTTACATGCACAGTTAGACATCTTGCTTGTGTGACCAACATCAAGATCAAAAAATCGTGGCTGATCTCATAGCCATCTTACTAATTTCACAAAGCCAGTAAATTAAATGGAATCATGCTAGAGTTAAAAAAACTCCAAAACCATAATAATCTATTGAATACCTGAAGCAATTCTTTCAAGCCCATTAGCTTTGGCTGACCATTGAGGATACTGAAAAAGAGAACAGATAAAAATCAACTTTTAAACAAAAGCAATTACACACACAAAATACTTCTCAATGAAGTAGCTAAGATGAGCTAAAAAATAGTACAATAAGGCAAAACTTTGTTACAAACAAAGCTGAAATAACCCAATGTGATGACAATGGGACTGATACTAGGAAAATAGTACCAAAACAAATCAATCAATCGGGAATTCAAATATTCAATCACTCAGCAGTACAAATTAGTCAATTTAAGCTTAGGTGCAGCTTTTTATTTCAGACTACATATGTTTGTCATCCCAATTCTTACCTTATCAAAATAAGCTCCATATAACCCCTAACTGTGCAGTACAAAATATTGATATTAAATAAGTCAATTTTAACCTAATCAGAAGAAACCTATTTGTTCAATTTCTCCTCCAACATCTCAACTAAGAAAGAACTGAATTGATAGGGACAATACTATATTTCCTTGCATGCACATGATATTCTAGATTAGCAAATAAAGATAGTCTTAGGAATTTAATTTGAAAATAAATTATGTCATAACAATTCTAGGAAACATTACATTTTAATTGCATGTCTATAAAATGCTTACCCAGAATTTGAAACAGATTTGGTTTCATAGAACAAGTTTCTCTCTTTAAAAGGGCCATAGCTCTAGTGCTGGTTAACTTTTTGAGAATTCGAATTAATTTATTCCAGTTTATTATCACTGTTTAGTTCTTGAGCCATTCAACACATGTTTTCATTCACATTAAAAAAAAGCTTTGTGGTCTCTGTTAATGAAATTACATGGGTGTGATATAAAACAAAACAAGATGGAAACAAAAATTCCATGAAAATATATGGTAAGGTGTCAGTTCATAAAGTATGTCGGAATTAGCGCACATTGTACAAAAATCATGGACACTAAAATTGAAGAATAATAATAATAATAATAATAATAATAATAATTAGAACAACAACACAGTTAACACAGTAACAAAACAGTCTGCCCAGTTGCCAGCATATGATAGTAAGGTTAGAAGCAACTCACCCTACCATGTTGCAGCTAAAGCTAGATTGAAGAGCTGTATGACGGAAAAGCTTATTAAGGACTATTGATGGATCTGCAGCTCTTTTTAACTGACAAAATAATACAATAAAGATGTCATCTAATAAGCTCTAATAAAGTAATAAAGAAAATTGTGAATGTTGAACACACCTCAATAACTATGCGCATACCGGAACGGTCACTCTCGTCACGAATATCACTTATGCCTTCTATGGTCTGTTCACAATGAAAAATAATCTCATAACTGTTACAGACCACATTAACATCTATTGTCGTTGCTTTGTCATGGATAAGGTTTTAAATATTGAGTATCAGGAACATATTGGATGGCCAAAATCCATATAGGATTATTGATGTCAGGGAAATATCAGGTGTATGCAATAAATGTCGGATTGTCATATCACATGACGCACATATATAATATATAATGTCCAAAAATCTAATCTAAACATACTTAGTCAAATCTAGGCATACAAAAATGTAAATAATATATGTTTAGGATCGCTAACCAATTGTATAAAGTTATTTGGGGAAAAGAGACTACTAGAATTTGTTAAAAAACTTCGTAGGATGCAATTTTTGCTTAAAAAACATCAAATAAAGGTTGCGGAGTTGTATTGTTTTAGTGACAAGCCACATAAATGGATGTATCAGCCAACACATAGGCTAATATATTGGTCATGTCGGGGATATATCGACCAAAAATTGTCAAAAGCGGTAGAGGATATTAAGCTCACATCGTTTTGCAGCAAGCCTTGTAAAAGGATATATCGACTATATACGGGATATTTGAAACAATGGTCGTTACTAAGCAAAGCAAAGCTCAAAATAAAACTGAACATCTCAGCTCCCCCCACAAGCTAGAGGGAGGGAGGCAGGGAGAGAGGGATGGAGGGAGGGGGAGAGAGAGGGAGTGGGAGAGACAAAGGGAGGAGAGAGGAAGAAAACAAACAATAAGAGCAAAAAAGAAAAACTTCAAAAACAATACGAGTAATATTTTTTAATGTACACATGCAAAAGCACTTGAATGTTGTACACCGAGAAATGAAAGCTACCATATTGGCCCTGTCCTAATTCACAGAAAGTATCTACAACTAATTTGCTCATTTACAGGAATCAATAACAGGTTGTTCTATTCTACTAATTAATTAAATTCATTGTAATATTACCATGATACCATCGACTATCATTTTCCTAAAATTTCTCATTTACAATTAACTACTTCATGCATATATCAAAAAGATTATAGGTGTTAAGAATCGACAAGTAATCTCATATGTAGTTCAAGCATCCCGATCTTCCTTTTACATTAACTGTCTATTAGCTTCATATGGAAATAAAAAAAACCATCGGAATATGAAGATCTAAAAGAGACAGTAAAATAAATAAATGTATGATGTTTAAAGGAAATTTCTGCTTTTACACATCTTATAAAGTCCTCCGACAATTGCTTCGTCTAACTAATTCGGCGAGCTCAGAATAATTACTACAATTAGCAGAGAAATATGAAACAAAGAGCCAATAATTAACGCCCTCCAAAAGGTGAAAATATATATAGTACCTTATCTTCAACAAGCTCCGCAATTTTTTCGACCAGCGCGGATTTATTGGTTTGGTAAGGAATCTGTACAATTAGACTAATGTCTTGATAATAAACTATAACAACATTGACAACACAAGTTGAAAGAGAGAAAATAAAAAATAGCATGAAATCCTGAATATTAGATATTGACCTCTTTAATTATTATGGCAGTGCGTTTTGTTTTCTCATCTAGCACTTCCATATCAGTCTTTGCTCTCACGACTACGCGTCCTCGTCCAGTTCTATATGCCTCTAAAATACTATTAAAAAGGACAATTGTACAGACACATGATCAGTCCATCTAGAATCACAAAAGACAAGTCAGCAATGTCAGTCAGTGGAAAGTAAAACATTACCCAATATTCCCCATGATTAGTCCTCCAGTTGGGAAGTCAGGTCCAGGCATGTGTTCCAACAATTCTTGGAGCTATAACACATGCAATGATCAGGTCGTTGTCAATAGTTCATGGAGGAAATTCGATTGTTATTGCAGGAGATGCTAGATAACCACTAACAGGAGTACCAAAATTAGAAAATGAAAGGTTGTGAAGATAAACATAGTAAAACCAAAATAAAAAGATACTTCGAGTATAATGTGCACTGCTGATTTGCAGTTGCGTATTGCAGATTATAATATCCATTAACATGCAAGAAGAAGTTACTTAAAATGGAAGCAGAATTCAATTATTACTTTGTTCTAGTGTGTTTGGCACCTTCAATAGACAAAGGTGGTGATAAACCTAAATGAACATGCGTTAAAGCAGTAAACACGGACATTGACATCTGTAATCTAGCAGACAAATGGCCTCGACAGATATGAATGAAGAAAAAATTTCATGCAGCTGACCCTAATGCTTGGAATACAGGTGTTTTTTGTCGTTGACACTGTTTCAATCAGTTAACCACATTGCTAGGTTTGAAAAAAGAATGAAATTACAGTTTTGACCCTGTTAGCATGAAGCAAATAAACAACCACCATGGTCAACATTCTTCACATATGCTCATTGTAGCTTACTGTAATTATATGGAGAAAAACAGAAATGGATATACTTACTGTAGCTTCTGGATTACGGATCAAAGCAGAAAGTGCATCCACAAGTTCCCCAAGATTATGTGGTGGAATATTAGTTGCCATTCCAACCTAACAGCAAAAGTATTCAGGTGACAAACATAAACTATATAGCATAACATGGGGGGAAAACATGACCAAAGGATTCGAGTAATAAGCACAATGCTGTCATCACACTGGCATCATTCTGATACGTATGATCAGATCATAGTAACAAGAGTTTTGACATGCCTAACCAAAATAACATCCAGTGACAGGAGGTACCGCAATTCCAGAAGATCCGTTCAACAACAAATTTGGGATGCGAGCGGGTAACAAGGATGGTTCTTTTTGTGAATTATCAAAATTTGGAACAAAGTCAACCTGAGCAAATACAGTGCGCAAGTATTAGAAAGGGAGTCCCATACGAACACACACCGACCACACAATCACAGAGATACACATGTAAAATGTATATAAATATGTATGTATGTTTATATGTATATGTAACTGGACCTACCGTATCAAGTTCCAAGTCAGTTAATAGCATCGCTTCTGTAAGTGCCTGTCAAGTGATAAACAGTAAGTAAAAAACCGCCATGCTCAAAAAGCTCTACAGAAAGCAAAGAAGAAAAACAACGCAAATCCCTACGTGCAAGCCTATAGAGCACCAGATCTCTATTCAGGTAAAACCATGAAAGGTTTCAGAAAAAATTAAGTGGTAAGACTCGCAATTCCTTATAAGTTAAATAAAATTGATACTTGGTATACATATCCATTTCCTGACACAGCTCCATCCAGGTGTTTAACTAGAACTAGTGGCTACA